TTAGATAATTGTTCACTTAATAATGTAAATAAAGGAACAATTTTTTTTGGATAAAATTTCTGCATCACGAAAACCTTGAGAATAAAGCATAACTTGTGCAATAAGAACTTTATCGGGTACTGTCATAGCTAAACTACGAAATAGACTTTTAAGATTATCAGGTAGATTCGAACGACCAGCATAACCAGGATTCATAGTAATAAAAATAGCCATATTAGAATTAACTGTAATAGTTTTACCAACAATTTCAATTTTTAATGTACCTAAAATTTTATATTCCGATTTATTTCAAAATAAAAATAGTTCATGGAAATTTATACTTTTATTTGCTGATGATTGTTGACGAAGTGCCTCTTGAATTGTTTGGATTTGTTGTGATACAGCTGATAACATACGTTCTTCTAAACGATTAAATTCATCAAAACATCCCCATGCACCAACTTGACATAAACCAACAAATATACGACCCATAGCTTGAAAATCAAATGCTTCATCACAATTAAATACAAGTACAAAACGACCAAGAGCATTTCCAAGTGCTTTAACTGATTCAGTTTTTCCCGTTCCTAATTAAATCGTTAATTACTGATTAGAACAAAAAAAAAAAGAAATATTTTTTTCTACATACCAGCAGGTCCAAATGGTGATCCACCAAATTTAGCATGTAAAGCTTGTGTCATTGTTAAGAAACATCGATCAGTTGATGGTGTTTGAACAAGACGATCTTGTAAACCTAAAAATTAAATAAAATCACTTAGTTAGAATATATATATGTCTTTTTATTCACCAAGATATTCAAAACCATAATGAAATTCAGCATTAGCCATTCGAAGTTTAAGTTGTTCAAGAACATTTTGATTACTTGGTTCAAAATATAAACGCATTTGTGCAAGCCATTCAAAATTACTTGCTGAATCAACTTTCTTATCTATTAATGCTCGAGTTACATCACGTTTATGCACATGTTCAATAATCTATAAAGATTGAATTTTTTAAATGAAATCTGCACTGAAAAAGAAAACTATGCGTACAAGATGTTCAAGTTTTCGTCGTCGAACAGTTGGTTGATCAGCAAGAACTAAATCAGCTAACATACCAAGTGTAGATTCAATTTGTCGAAGTGCTGGTTGTAAATCAACATTCTTTCCAAATACAAGTAAACGTTCAATATTCTCTGACCATGAGACTTGAAATGCAAGAACAACTAATTGAGCCTAATCAAGAAAAATATAACAGACTGATTCATAAAAAAATTGTAAAGATTCAATCTTCTAAATTATTATCAAAATGCAGAGTGATATTATAGTTAGTTCTGAGGAATCTTCACTTGAGTATATTTTGTTGAATAAAATTTACTGAAAGATAAAACTTAGAGGAATCTCAATTTATCGTAATAAATATACACTGATTGTGAAATACGAACTAAACGGACGGTTGAAGTGTTAGTAGTAGAAATTTGTGCCTTCACAGGTATTTTAGTTAATTAAGCAATTCATGACGGGGCGTAAGACATGCGGCATGAAGATCATTACATACTGTGACACTCGGTTTCGAGGTCCTACCAATGGTCATATATATATTGCTCTAAAGTAAGGCATGATACCGAAGTATATCGTGTTTTACATAGTTAGAGCTAACGCTATTACAGACATAGAACTGATAGTTATCATTATCTAGATATACAGTGTTCTAAGTCCTATTCTTTGAGTGGGCGGCGCACGTCTAGTCCGCCCGCTAGATAAAAGACTGTAGATATGTAAATATCATGTCATGATTCAGAACTTTATTAATCATACTTGATATTGATCAAGCCAATTAATAAATCTTTGTGTATCAGTTAAATTATTTTGTATTGCAGTTAATTGTGGAATAGATTGTGCAAGTAATTTAGCTAAAGTTAAACTAATTTCTTTTTCTACTCTTGATAACCAATCATTTATATTTGGATGTTGTTTAATAGATATTTGATTGAAAAATTTCACTTCTTCACCTTCTTTAGATTGAACACCTTCGATTATTGTTGGATCTTCCTCATTAATAATTAATGAATTAACACCAGCAAACATTTTTTTAAAATGTTTTTGTAAACGTAATAAATTATTTGAATTACCAATCATTTCTAATAAATCTTCATCACCAATAAAATAAAATCTAATAATAAAAAAATATGTCATTTTAAATTCTATATATATATAATTTCTACCGTGGGAAAGCTGCACGTTGTCGTTCAAGATATTGTCCAAGAGCTTTTTGAATTTTTGTTAATGAATCAGCTAAACGTTCAAGTAATTTTTGTACATTTGGTATTGCAATAACATCAAGTACTAATGGAGATTTTTCAACTTTTTTCAATAAACCAACAAATTCATTAGCGACACTTTGAAATTTTTGTGATTCATTTGGTAATAATTGTGCTATGTCAGTTGATGAAGTAAATATACCTTCAAGATATACCCAACGTCGTTGAACATCAATCCAAATATCAAATATATTTATAATACGATTAAGTTTATCTTCCCAAGAAAGTGTTTCTGCTTCGAATGCCTATTAATTATGATGATTATTATTAGTTAATAAAAGAATTTTTTTCTTATTTTACTTTAAAATATGGAGATAATTTCATACTTAATATATTACTTAAATTTTCTTTTGATTTTGTAAATAAATCATCCCAACTTTTAATAACTTTCCATTTCTTTTGATAATCAATTAATTCTAATTGATAAACTTTCCATTGTTCACTTATTTGTTTTAGAAATTCTTCTAAAGCTTTTTCACCTTGAGCATTTATCATTATATCACGTAATACATTTTCATTCTTTTTAAAATTATCTACTTGATCCCAAATATCTCTTAATGTTAAATCAGCCATATTATTCCATGTCATTGTTAAATCAAGTATTTTAACCATATCTTTCCAATGACGATCTTTTAATGCTTCAGATTTTAATTCATTTATAAAAGGTATCATCTATAGAAATGAATGAAATATTTTATATTGAAAGAAAAAAAAATCAATTAATTTACTTTAAGATAATTTTCTATATTCGATTTAACTGCACCATATGAATGATAATTTTTAACAGATGAAACCATTGCTGTCATTGAAGTAAGTAATTCTTCAAGATTAGTTTTGAGTTTTTTTGGTTGTACTGTAAGCCATTGTATATCTTTCAATTCTTCTAATCGATTACAAACATTTTCAAGAGATTTCCAAACATTACGAATTTCTTCAAGTTCAGCAAGATCAGCACGTATACGTTTTTCAAAATGATCAACTTGACCTAAATCATTTACAATCAATATGTGTGTTAATTAAAAAACCCGTAAAATAGACTTTGTGAAAGTTTAAAGCCCACGATAGAAAAATAAAAGTTTCTCGATCCCGTATGAACCTACTGAGTTCAAGATACCTTGCTACTAGGGTTTCATAGGATCTGTAGGATATCGAAGTACCTTAACGAACTTTTAGGTACATATTAGATACCCGAGCGGGTACCCTGTTGAAAAGTGCCAAGTAAATAGGTAGTAATCGAGTACTGTTGCACAGTATTTTTAGACACTGTTATCAAAATGACAGTATGTTGATGATCGAATCTAACCTTTGCGTTTTTTCATTTTTGTCTCTCTTACAGCAATTTGTGACATTTATTCAGTTTGAGGTTTCCAATTCTGAAAACCCAATCAGATCAAATTTGCGATCGAGATCGGCATCTTATCGACTAGTAAAAAGTCAAGAAATAATCTAGCAAAAAATTCTAATTTCTTAGGTTTTGTCGAGTTGCATATGTGAAGCTGTGCATGCAAAAGAAAATCACAGAGCGCGATAAATCTAGTGTATCCTAGTAAAACTACAAGCGCGAGTATCCCGAACTCACTACTTTCTATAGGAATTATTAATGAATACATTCGAGATTTACCTGATTCTTGCATTTTAACACTTTGTTTAGCTTTATTGAGCACTGTTCGTTTTTCTAATTGTTCATTAAGTTTTGTTTCATATAAAGCTAATTGACGAATAGCATCACGAGGTTTTAAATCACCCTAATAAAAACAAAATATTAACTAAGATCTATGATGTATATATATTTCTACATACACCAATCGGTTTTTTAGTTGACCAATCTTCTAAAAGTTCTTTTGTTTTTGTATCAATAGTTTGTGCTTCAACTTTAACTTTTTCTTGAATAGTATCCAACTAGTAAAAAAATAATTTTTAGCATAAACATATTATTTTAGTTTTGAATTACAAACTTTTGTTTCCATAACTCGTTCTTTTTGTTTAAGTACATCATTCATTGATGTCCAAGAGTTTTTAATTGTATCTACAGATATCCAATTCTCTGGAAATGAATAACGTTGTCGTTC